AGTGCTGCTATGAACATAGGGGTGCATGTGTCTTTTCGAATTAGAGTTTTGTCTGGGTATATATGCCCAGTAGTGGAATTGCTGAGTCATAAGGTCACTCTATTTTTAGTTTTTTGAGAAATCTCTCCACACAGGAGTACTGTTCTCCACAGTGGTTGCACCAATTTACATTCCCACGAATAGTGTAGGAGGGTTCTCTTTTCGCCATATCCTTGCTGACATTTGTTATGTGTGCTCTTTTTTTTTTTTTTTTTTACAGTTATTATTGTGAAAACAATGTGTTTATCAAAAAAAGTATTTCCTTTGATTGAAGAAAATTGTACACACTGCAATAATCTGAAAACCTAGAGGCTCTAATCAGAGCACTGAAAGTCTAAGAAATTGAGGAACCTATATTGAAAAACTAGTCAATCCCAGGATTTATATTTCTATGGACAGCAGGTAGTTGTCGTGTGCTTTGTTATTTATCTAACTTGATAGTTTCTTTTAATGGAAGTGTTTAGACAATTTATTTCAATTACCAGTAGAGCTGCTCTTTATTTTTGCCATCTGTTCTGTGTTCCATTTTCCTTTTTTTCTTCTCTCTTTTTCTTTATTTTTATTTTTTAATTTTTAAATTGATGTATAGTTGATTTACAGTGTTAGTTTCAGGTGTACAGCAAGTGATTTATAAATAAGTTCTTTTGTATCATTTTTTTTAGATTCCACATATAAGTGGTATCATATATTTGTCTTTTTCTGTCTGACTTCACTTAGTATGATAATCTCCAAGTCCATCCATATTGCTGCAGATGGCATTATTTCATTCTCTTATGGCTGAGTAATATTCCATTGTATATACGTACCACATCTTTATTCATCTGTCGATGGACACTTAGGTTGCTTCCATGTCTTGGCTATTGTAAATAGTGTTGCTGTGAACATTGGGGTGCACGTATTTTTTTAAAAACATCTTTATTGGAGTATAATTGCTTTACAATGGTGTGTTAGTTTCTGCTTTGTAACAAAGTGCATCAGCTATACATATACATATATCCCCATATCTCTTCCCTCTTGTGTCTTCCTCCCACCCTCCCTATCCCACCCCTCTAGGTGATCACAAATCACTGAGCTGATCTCTCTGTGCTATGCACCTGCTTCCCACTAGCTATCTATTTTACATTTCGTAGTGTATATATGTCCATGCCACTCTCTCACTTTGTCCCAGCTTACCCTTCCCCCACCCCGTGTCCTTAAGTTCATTCTCTAGTAGGTCTGTATCTTTATTCCTGACCTGCCCCGAGGTTCTTCATGACCTTTTTTGTTGTTCAGATTCCATATATATGTGTTAGCATAGGGTATTTGTTTATGCTTTTCTGACTTATTTCACTCTGTATGACAAACTCTAGGTCCGTTCCACCTCACTACAAATAACTCAATTTCATTTCTTTTTATGGCTGAGTAAGATTCCATCGTATATATGTGGCACATCTTCTTTATCTATTCATCTGTTGATGGACACTTAGGTTGCTTCCATGTCCTGGCTATTGGAAATAGAGCTGCAGTGAACATTGTGGTACATGACTCTTTTTGAATTACGGTTTTCTCAGGGTATATGCCCAGTAGTGAGATTGTTGGGTCGTATGGTAATTCTATTTTTAGTTTTTTAAGGAACCTCCATACTGTTCTCCACAGTGACTGTATCAATTTACATTCCCACCAACAGTGCAAGAGGGTTCCCTTTTCTCTATACCCTCTCCAGCATTTATTGTTTGTAGATTTTTTTGATGATGGCCATTCTGACCGGTGTGAGGTGATATCTCACTGTGGTTTTGATTTTCATTTCCCTGATGATTAGCAGTTTTGAGCATCTTTTCATGTACCCATTGGCCATATGCATTTCCTGTTTGGAAAAATGTGCATTCAGTTTTTCTGCCCATTTTTAAGTTGGGTTGTTTCTTTTTTTAATGTTGAATTGTTTGAGCTGTTTATATATGTTGAATATTAACCCCTGTCAGTCATATCATTTGGAAATATTTTCTTGCTTTTGGTAGGTTATTTTTTTGTTTTGTCAGTGGCTTCCTTTGCTGTGCAAAAGCTTTTAAGTTTAATTGGTCCTATTTGTTTATTTTTGCTTTTATTTCCTTTATTTTAGGAGACATAGCAAAAAAATACTGCTGTGATTTATGTTGAGTGTTCTGCCTATGTTTTCCTCTAGGAGTTTTATAGTATCCAGTCTTACACTTAGGTCTTTAATCCATTTTGAGGTTTGTTTTTGTATACGGTGTTATAAAATGTTCTAATTTTATTCTTTTAAATCTAGCTGTCCAGTGTTCCCAGCACCACTTATTGAAGAGACTGTCTTTTCTCCAGTGTATATCCTTGCCTCCTTTATCATAGATTATTTGACCATATGTATTGGTTTGTTTCTGGGCTTTCTGTCCTGTTCCGTTGACCTATGTCTGTTTTTCTTGCCAGTACCACACTGTTTTGGTGACTGTAGCTTTGTAGTATAGTCTGAAGTCAGGGAGCATGATTCCTCCATGCTGTGTTTTTCTTTCTCAAGACTGTTTTGGCTATTTGGGTTATTTTGGGTTTTCCACACAAATTTTAAAATTATTTTAGTTATGTGAAAAATGCCATTGTTATTTGGATAGGGGATGCATTGAATCTGTAGATTGCCTTCCCCAAGGATTCCTGACCAAGGTTCCAATATACATAGAATCTCAGATGAGATAATTAACCACCAGCCCACTTTCTCAGATCTGATCCTGACATTCTCCACACAGTGCCTCTCAAATGGGAACATGCTCAGTGATTCCCAGAGAAATTTATTGGTGCTGCTGGTTCTGATGGAGCATGTTTAGTGTTGATCCTGAAACCCTGCATTTCTAACAAGTGCCCAGGAGGTGCCATTGCTTCTGGTCCCAAACCACACTTTTCAGTAGCAAGGCTTTAGAGCCGTCTTCCCAAGGCTTGCCCTGTTTTGTGTGTCCCCTGGTGTACTGATTCCCTATGTAGATGTCTCTGTTCCTACCCAGGAGCTTTGGTTTGACCGTGTCTGGGAAGGCTTTCTAGAACTGCTTGTAGGATATTTGTTCTCAATCAGGGACCTGTGTACCTTGCAAGAGAGATACTTGACATGGACGGTGAGACATTTTTGTTTGTCACAGTGGGAGAGGTGGGTGGCGACCCCTTCCATCTGGTGGGTAGAGATGAAGCAGGCTGGTCAACATCTTACAGTGTGCAGAACAGCACCTCACACAGAGTTATCCAGTCATGTGTCAACCATGGGGAGGCTGAGAAATCCAGGTTCGTATGAGTTAACATGCTCCTCTGGCCCAGAACGAAGCCTCAGTCCTTAAGGGAACCTGCAGATTGCAGCAGGATTTGCTCCTCTCTCCAATGTAACAAACCCCACACTCCCTAACTCCTCTCTCCTTCCCACTTCACGATCTCATTTTCTTCTTATAGGCAGTTTTCATTCACTAATTTGTAACTTCCACAACGTCGTGGGCTTTGGACTTTGGTGTTGGCTGCATCCCCAGTGCTAGAGCTGGCTAATCAGTGAGGCAGTGTGTGTCCCTGGGGATTTTTGTTCTTGAGGCCGGGGTGCACTGGCCCGGGTGCGTTTAGAAGGAAATAAGAGTCACTCAGCATCCCGCATTGTAGGGCTGGTTATACCCGGAATTCGTAAAGAAATGGAAAGCTAATCATGGCAGGTTCGGTAACACAGTGGGGTTGTTACAAGAAGGAAGTCGCCACCTAGAAACTGATAGAGAATAGGGATTCCTCTGTTAAATGAGTACATTTCAGCATAGCTTCCAAGGGTGTCTCGTCAGTCTGACTCAGGAAAGGATCACCGTCTTTCCATTAATGGTCAGGTGCTTTGGAACCACTTGGAGGTGGCACATGGCCCAAGCAAAGAACAGATAAACACTCGATATGAGTAGTGAAGGCAACATCTATACCTTATCTCAAGTTTTCTTGCTAGAAATCCTCACCCCTTGGAGCTTCCTTTGAGCCCATGCTTGCCATTGAGAGCCTCTTGAACCTATCCAGGTGGAGAGGAAAAGAGAGAGATTAAAAGAAAAACAAGTGACATATTCCATGACCTTCCTAATTCCTATGGAAGCTTTTAGGCATGCAGGTAGATACAGGACAAAATTTCCTACGAATATCAGAGACGGCAAGTTCCAGAGAGAAAAGGTCCTATTGTCTCTCGCCACTGTTTACCTTTTGCTCGATGTTCCCGTATTGGTATTTATCCTTTGGTGTCTGTCTGTCCTTTGTTTTCATTTCAGCCTGTGTGTGTGTTTTACTAAATGGTAGACGCTTAATTCCTGGGTGGGTATTTCAGTCAGTCAGCCTCTGCACCTAATCCTTGATCAAAATGTTTCTTGTCAGTGAAATAGGAATTGGTTTTTTCCATCCCTCCACCCTACTTTAGTAATTGGTGAGTGTTAGCTAATGTCAGGCTGGAAACAAAATCCGATGCGAAGAACAGTGAATCCCAGGCCAGCCCTTCTCCAGGTGTGTACACTCAGTGAGGGAAAAGTCTCAGTTCTCTGTAGAAGGACTCAGCTTTTCCTTTATCTTACAGTAACTTAGTAGAATGTATATACAGTGTAGTCCAGTATACAGTAACCTTTTATACATATCCACATTATAAAGAGAGTGTATTCTGTAAGATCCCTACTGTCCAGTGTTTGGTCTGTGTTCATAAGTATTGATTTGGTGCCATAACAGGCAACAGCAACACAGCGTGTTCTTGTTGATTTGTTTGATGAAACAGCATTAATAACAGGCTGTGTTTTCTTAGAATTAGGTGGTGAAGTCACTTTTTTTTCCCCACTGGGGAAAGCCAAAAGGGCAGGAATCAAAGAGGCACCGATTACTACCATTTCTCAGTGTTTCCAAAGTTTCTTTTTTTTTTTAAGTAATGGATTTTATAAAAGATCACTCGTGGAAGAGAAAGTTTTCAATAAATTGACTTGTTTCCCGATAGCATATTTACATACCAGGTGAATGATACATTCAGGAAAAAGTATAATTCTGTTACCAGCTTCCCTGACATTCACGGTATTTTCTTCTGGAATCCCCTCTTCTCTTGTCATCTGCTTGAACTTCTCAAAGTCTTCCTCTTTCATGTTACTTTCTCTGCCTGAAAATCACTGTGCAGAAAGCAGAATTTTGCCCGTTAGAACCCAGGGAAATGTCTGAATACAGAACAAGGAATTGAATGTGCAAATCAGATTTCGCTTGGTGTACAATGTTAAGAGAGTCTCAAACCGTTACCGTTTCCCATGACACAGGTGTGTGCTGTCTGTCTTGTGAATGAATCCCGGTCCAACTCTAACTGGACACCATCCAGC